CCCCCACATGGCGGCCCAGCCAGACCTGGCTTCTCTCTCCCACTCTCCCTCTCTGTCCCTCTGGGCTCTCTCTGGTGAGTACACGTGCCCTACAGCAAATTTTTAAAATAATGAAATAATTTTAAAAAAAATGTTTTTAAAAAAAAGAAAGAAATGCACGGTCCAGATTAAGGAGGCTCCACCCCACCAGGTAGAGTGAGTGGTCTGAGTCCCAGATTGGCAGCTTGGAAAACAGCATGGTACTGGGCCGCCATGCCCCAAATCCACAGGGAACAGAGAAAGAACTGCAGCGTGGCCGTCCCCTCTGGGGGTGGGGGGTAACAGCTCACTTTCCCTTTCTCCGTCTCCTGCTTGCACGCACGCCTCATAGCAATTTTTAAAAATAATAAAAACTATTTTAAAACTCTCAGGCAGCTGTTGAATATGGGGGGACATAAAATCTGCCCCCATTTCACCATTCTACTAGCACAGCTATTTTAGTGTGAGTCTCCCCCTCCCCCATGCACATTTTACACAGCTGTAAAGACTGTAGGCCTACAATTGTTGGGGTTGCCTTTCCTTTTTTTTTAAAAGAATTATTTAAATTTTATTATTTTAGAATTTGCTATAGGGCACACATGCTCACTAAAGAGAGAGGTTAAGTGAGAAAATAAGATCCACGTCCAGGACTCAAACTGTGGCCAGCCATGTGGAAGTCCAGCACCCCAACCACCGTGCCACCCACTGGCCCTTGCCTTCTTTTCTGAACCGTTTCCCCATAATCCCGTTTCCATGCCCTTGGTGGTCTTCGTAAATGGCAGTTGGTGGTTCAGAACATTCCACGGGTGAGGGCACCATTATTCACTGGGCAACACTGCTGTCGTGATCCTCTCATTTCTTCCAAATCCTCACCTTCATAAACACTGCGGCAATACACGCCTCCACGTGAAGGGCGCTGCTCCCTTAGCCCACTCTCTCAGCAGCTTGGTCCCGAGGCCGGGTGACAGCTCCCCACATGCATGAGTGTAACCACACTGGCCTAACTACACCCTCAGCACCACTGGGCCCCGTCGTTTGGGTTGTTGAGAAAAATACTGCTTGTTTGATTTTCAATCTGCATCTCTCTTTGTAAGGTTTTTATTTTACTTATTATTATTTAATTTGACCAGAGACAGAGAAAGGAGGAGGAAGCAAGAAAGCAAACCACCCAGTCTGGGACTTGAACTGTGGTCAGCTATGTGGGAGTCCAGTGCCTTAACCACTTGCCAGCCCCTCAATCTGTGTATCTTTGTTAGTGAGATTGGATGCTTTCCAACATGTATTCGCTGCAGATGTATCTTTTACGTCCTTCGTCCAAATCTTATATTTGATGAGCTGGAGAAACGAGCCCCTGACACACATTCAGGGGTGCTGTCCCCAGCTCTCCCCAGGCCAGCTGTGCAACGCCAGCCATCTGATTCCTGGTCTGTAAATGGGGGCCATAGCACCTGCTTGATGGGCCGAGCCTAAATTGATTAGCCTAAATCTCCACCCAACGAAGGGGGAACCCCCCCCAATGGGAGTGAATTTAGAAAAGACGCATGAGTAGAAAAGTGGGGATCAGGTGGTCCTGGTGTCTCTGGTGGAGAACGCCATGGTCCCCAGGTTTACTTTTTTATAGGGCAAGGTGGTGGGGAGGGAGCCAAAGGTACAGGCAGGGGTCTTCTATTATTGATGGCAGCTGTGGCGCACCCTGCATTCCTGGGATTTAAATAACCCCCACCTGGCCTTCTCTGGCTAAAATAGTTTCTTTTAACCTCCGTTGTCTGCACCATCGGCCTAAGCAAGCAAGTCTAATTGATCAGCTCAGATTTGATCAGAATTAGCTATTTGAATTAACTGGCCATATTAAAATTTGATTAGATGTTAAATCTTATCTTGAAAAATCTTCCCACACTGACATCCCTTTCCAGAACCCCCACCCCAGCTCCTTACGACAGCTGTCCACCCGGGCTCTACATTCACCCTCTCCGTTGTTTAACCCCCTCCAGGAGGGCCTTCATCCCCACCCTCCTCGTACAACACTCGTCAAGGCTGCCCGTCACTTCGGGATGGCCAAATCCAGTGGTCAGTGATCAGTCCTCACTGGCTCAGCACATGGGCAGACGGCAGTCCCTCCACACAAAGCCCTTTCCTATGGGCTTCTGCACCAATGCTTACCCGCCCCTCAGTGTGCACTCGCTGCGTGTGGCCGCAGCTGCAGGTGCCGTGGGACATGCAGAGGAGCTTCTGCGTGTTCCATCCCGCTGAGCTCATGGGCTGGCGTGGGAGATGCATTCACACACATAATCACAACATGTCCCTTCTGGGAGTGGAGCTGCTCTAAAGGACACTGGACAGAGGCCTGGGGAGGGGCGTGGCCTTGGATGCAATGATGAGAAGTCCTCTCAACTCAAATGGCACCCGGGAGCAGGTCACACAGGCATGCAGGGAGAGCATCCCACAGGAGGGAAGGGCAGGTGCAAGATGTGGGGGTGGGGTCGGGGGTTCTCAGCAGCTGGGAGAGGGCAGCTGGTGGGAGGCAGGCTGGCCAGGTGGGCTTGCGAACAGGTGTGGCATGGTGTATATTTTTCTTTTCTTCTTTTTTTTTGGGGGGGAGAGGTTTTTGCTATAGGGCGCGTGCGCTCGCCTGACAAACAGAGAGAGACAGAGATAGAAAGCGAGAAATCACCCCCCAGGGGGGATGGCCACACCGCAATCCCTTCTCCTCTGTTCTCCTCTCGGGATCTTGGGCATGCATGCACATGCGCCCGGCATTGAGTTTTTTTAAGCCACCGGGTCCAGAACACGAACCGCAGTCGACTACATGGGAGTCCAGCGACATAGCCATTACACTAACTGCTGGTCCCAGCATGGTGTATATTTTTAACTTTATATAAAAATACATGTGTGTGACTACTCAGCCATAAAAAATAACAAGACCCTGGAATTTGATAGAAAATGGTCAGATATGGAGGATCTATTGCTGAGTGAAGTAAGCCAGGCTATGAAAGAAAGATATTGTATGTATCCACTCAGTATATACTGACTATCCGCCCTCTATGGTAGAGAGCAAAAAATTGGAGGACATAAAAGCAGTGAAGGTACTTAATGAGAATAGGACAGTGTGGAATGGGGTAAGTGAAGAGAAGAGGATAGAGAAAGATAGCAAGTGAACAATAGAGAGGCAGGACGTTAGTGAGAAACAGATATGGCTTATTAACTGTTGATGATGACATGTATAGTATTCTCAACTGGATTGGTCTGAGAAGTATTTCATGATGGGCAAAGTATTTTTACAAGCAAAATGAGAAATAGCAATTGACTGTTTTAAAAAATAATTAGAATAATAAAAATAATGATTGGGGAAAACATAGAAAAGATATTGAATGTTGAAGTGGGGAGATTAATGTCTCTGTACTGACGGACATGCATGGCATTCCCTTTTGAAAAAACAATGTAATACACTGTAAAGTTATATGTAATCCAATGTAATATAAAGAAGATTATGATGATGATAATAAAAAAATAAAATTAAAAAAAAAATACATGTGTGTGTATATGTACGTACACACTCAGGGTCTCACTCTGTCATGATTCTCCTCCCCAGCCCCCCGAATAGCTAGGACCCCCAGCACACATCACCATGCCTGCTCAGGGTGGGCCAGGAACTGAACCCAGGCCTCCAGGTGGCCTCCACTGCTGAGAAGCAGCATCCACCAGAGTGTGCTACTATGGCTGAGCTGTTTCTTGGGTGATTTTTCAAGTTTATTTCTTCCATGGGCAAGAGACAGAGGGAGAAAGCTGGAAGCAGCACCCAGCGATGGCCTGGGTGCGGCGGGCCACCCCAGCTCCGGTCAGCCTGATCGCCGCACACGCGTGTCCACACACTCAGGAAGGTGCCGACACAAACCCAGGGCTTTCCCGCGTGCGTCAGCCTGCAGATGGCACGTTTTACACTGTGCCAGCTCCTGGCTCCCAGAGTCCCTGAGCATCCTCTCCTGCCTGCTCCCAGCTGTCCCACCTCAGTCCCATCCCTGTGTCAGTGAGCTCCAGCCTCCTCCGCTGGAACCACTCCCGGGGGTCTCGGCCAGTCCCACGGCCTCACTGCAAACCCTCTCGAAGTCAGTGCTCCCAGGTTGGTACCCACAGCCCACCTCTCTGGGGCTCACTTCCTGCCCATGCAGTGCCTGGCCACCCAGCTGCCTCGCGGGTATCTGAAACTTGAAACCACGAAGACAAGACTTCACTTGTTTCCACCATTCTCCAGGTTGCTCAGGCCAAAACCCAGGCCCCATCTTCCCCTTGCCTCCCTCACGTGAATTTCCAGCCATCCGGACCTACAGATGCGCCTGCATCTCCCTCCTGAGACCTAAGTGGCCTGCCTTCACAGGACAAAAGCAAGGGCCCCTGCACCCCGTGTGGTCCCTGTGCCATGGGCCCCCACACAGCGGCCGAGGTGATCTTGGCAGAAGAGATACCAGGCCACATGGTCCCCTGCCTGAAAGTCTCCCTGTGGCTTTCCCATGTGCCCACCAACCTGCAGCCCTGTTCCAGCCCGAGAGGGGCAGGCAGGGTGCAGGGCGTTCCCAGGCCTCATACCCAGGGACTGTAAGCTCATCGCTGAAGCTCCTCTCCAACAGCCCCCGCTGTCCTTGTGAGGGCCCTCATAAGGCCGGAGACCGAGGCCCGGCATTTCCCCCGTGTGGGCTGCTGCCCAGCGGCACTGCCCGAGGTACAGGGAGACTCACCCAGCTGGACCAGGTAGTAGACGGTGAGCAGCAGCTGCATCTCCTCGGAGATGGGCTGGACGGCAGAGGCGCCGAGCCGCTCGTAGGCCCTGGAGCTGGCCTGGGAGTTCTGGTAGCAGGCATGCAGGAGCGGGCTGACCACCACGTCACTCAGGTTCCCGCAGAGGTAGGGGAAGTGCCCGTGGCCTGCAGGGAACAACCAGCAACTCTCGGCAAGCAGCCTCCTGCAGCCTATGACCCCGCGCGGGTGGGGTCTCTAAGTGCAAGGGTCCTAAGCAGACAGGTGGGCTGTACGGGTCCGGGGTCACCCAGGAGCCCCTCTTCAGGGTGTTCTCAGGCCTCCAGCCTCAGCTGACCTAGTGCAACTGCTCTGCCTTCCCAGGACCTAGGAGGACACATCGTCACCTTTTACACGGAAGGGGCTGTCCATTTGCTTGTTCATTTAGGCCCCTCCCCTTATTTTACAGGTGGGCAAGCCACAGCCCAGAGAAGTGACTCATCCAAACGCACAGAGCCATCGCCCCGGCATCTGTTGGCACAGACCCGGGCCCCATGGGAGCACAATGCCTTCTTGATGTTCTCTGGGCTCCGTTGCCAGCCTTGCTCCCTGGCTCCAGCAGGGAGAAGCCTGCCTCTCATCCTCCTCCATTCTCCGGCAAGTGAATGAAGACAGTAAATCACCATATGGACCAGAAGACCCGAAAATTGACTGACGGTAGCAACTGCTTCAGTAAACGTTAGAAGAGCGGGTGTTCTCAGGCCTCCAGCCTCAGCTGACCCTAGTGCAACTGCTCTGCCTTCCCAGGACCTAGGAAGACACATCGTCACCTTTTACACGGAAGGGGCTGTCCATTTGCTTGTTCATTTAGGCCCCTCCCCTTATTTTACAGGTGGGCAAGCCACAGCCCAGAGAAGTGACTCATCCAAACGCACAGAGCCATCGCCCCGGCATCTGTTGGCACAGACCCGGGCCCCATGGGAGCACAATGCCTTCTTGATGTTCTCTGGGCTCCGTTGCCAGCCTTGCTCCCTGGCTCCAGCAGGGAGAAGCCTGCCTCTCATCCTCCTCCATTCTCCGGCAAGTGAATGAAGACAGTAAATCACCATATGGACCAGAAGACCCGAAAATTGACTGACGGTAGCAACTGCTTCAGTAAACGTTAGAAGAGCCATTCTGGGGGCTGGCAGGTGGCACAGTGGTTAAGGCATTTGACTCCCAAATGGCCGACCACAGTTTAAGTCCCAGACCTGGTGGCTTGAAACTCACACCGGATGTGTGTGTATGCCCAAAATCCCGAGAGGAGGATGGAGGATGGAGGTTAAGGATGTGGCATGGCCATCCCCCCAGGGGGTGACTTCTCACTATCTATCTCTCCATCTCTCTGTCTCTGGCAAGCGTACACGCCCTATAGCAAAAATCTGTCTCAAAAAAAAAAAAAAAAAGAAAAGAAGAGTCATTCTGAGGCCTACTCATCCAAGCGGCCTTGCCCAGGTGGGTCTAGACCTCTCCCACTATTCGCTAGCTCTGCGACGCTTTCGCTCAGCCTCAGTCTCCACGTTTGTACCGGGGGGAGGAGTCAAATCCTCACCTTCCCTGAGACATCGGCTGCGCTGTGCGGGTGTGTGGTCTCGTCCTCAGCAGGCTCTCCGTTTACTCATCAGATGTGCTTTCTGAATTGGCTGTGTGCCAGGTGCAGGCACCAGACTTCGAGGGTCAGTCTAATACCTGAGATGGGGCCACGTGCCCAAGGAGATCGCTTCTCAACCTCGAATGTGCATGAGGAGCCCCTCACAGTCTTGCTAAAATGCTGGCTGCCCACCCCTCCCTGCAGCTTTGGATTCAGAGCGGGAGCCTGAGCCCAATTCTGGGGAGGGCCTGCAAATTCACACCTCCAACAAGCGCCCAGGAGGAGCTGGTTCTGCTGGGCCGGGGACCACAGTCTGGGTAGCACTGCTCAGGACACCACCGTTTACAAGAGGCAACACAAAGAGTTACTGTGAGGGGCCAGCAGACAGCATAGAGATTGAGGCCGCTGGATCCCACATGGTCAAATGTAGGGTTCGAGTCCCAGACCCGGTGGTTTGAAAGTTATTCCAGGTGTGTGTGTGCCCGAAGTCCCAAGAGGAGAATGGAGGAGAAAGGACGGCAGCATGGCCATCCCTAGGCGTAGGAGTGATTTCCCACTTCCTCACTCTCACTTGCCCTCCCTCTCCAGCATGTGCACACACCCGATAGTAAAACTTAAAATAAAAAAAATTTTAAAAATTAAAAAATAAAAAACACTGTGAAAAAAGGGACATGGTATTTCTCATAAAACAGGCACAGAGACGCTATCATGGGAGCCAGAAGGGCAACTAAGCAGCTCTGTGGAGACCTGGGCTGGGCCCTGCAGCATAGGTGGGTTTGGGGTAGGGTGGGGGACGGCGCGGCCCAGAAAGCCCGACAAACAGTGCAGTGCGCCTGCGGGGCGAGGCAGCTAGCCTCCGTCCTGAGACCAAGGGCCTGCCAGGTCCCTTCGTGGAGGCTCCTGGCTCTGGGCAGAAGCAAGGAAGCCCTGTCCATTCCAAACGTGGCATCTGGTTGCAGCTCCGCTTCCTCAGCCCTGTATTCTCAGAGCAGAGAAAATACGCGGCATGAAGGACAGGGGCCATCCGCGCCTGGTGGAATCTCCCCATTGCCAGCCCTGCCTCACACCCAGTTTGAAATCCGGATTTGCACCCTACTTTCTGAATACCCTGTCCATTTTAGGAAACATAAAGAAGTACCCCTTTTATTTATTTATTTATTTATTTTTGGAGAGGCTTTTGCTATAGGGTGTGTGCGCTCGCCAGAAAGAGAGACGAAAAGCGAGAAATCACCCCCCAGGGGGGATGGCCACACTGCAATCCCTTCTCCTCCATTCTCTTTTCAGGATCTTGGGCACACATGCACACACTCCCAGTGTGAGTTCAAGCCACTGAGTTCAGGTCTCAAACCATGGTCGACTACATGGGAGTTCAGTGACATAGCCATTACGCCAACTGCTGGCCCTAAGAAGTACCTTTTTTTAATTAACAACAGGAGGCTGCTCCCACTTTCCTGCCTTCCCCCCTTCTTGTATTCCTACAACAGGATACCAAATGCAAGGATTAACTTATTTAAGGAAGGCCTGCACGTGTGCGTGTGTGTGCATGTGTGTTACCACCTGCCAGCACACTGTGCCAGGGAGTACATCTTCAGTCAAGTTCTGCCAGATCCTCACTCAGTTTCCCGTTTCAAGGTCTCCTGCTTCGTCAGAAGGGGATTTCTGTAGTTGGACCCAAAGTCTACGTCCACACAGCCTACTGCACAGAACAGACACCCCCAGTTTTGCCTACTGCTTCTACAGTGTGGCACTGGCTATCAGATTTCATGGTCAAATACAATGGCTGAGGGTGACAAGAGGACAACCCACCAGGCCAGGGCTCCTTGAAGCCAAGGGCTGATTTCTTTACCTCCTGGTGGAGCTCAGCGAAGCAGAGCGAGTGAATGAATGAATGAAAGCACGTGAGGGCCAGCCCCAGGGCCTAGTGATTAAGGGAGCCAGACCCCACAGGGCCAGCCGCAATTCAGATCCCATCCCAGTGGCTTGAAAAGCATGCCAGGTACACGTGCGTGTGAGCCCCAGGTCCTGACGGGATGGAGAAATGGAGGAGAGGGAACTGAGGTGGGACCGCTCCTCACTGGGTCCCCGTTCCTCTTCCTCTGTATGTCTGAAGAGTGCGTGCACCCACGCACTTTGAAAAGGCTGACTGAACAAGCAAATGCCCATCATGGGATGAAGTTGTTTCCCTTGGAAAACTAACAAGCTAGGATTCTTGGCACCTGACCAGGGGCTAAACTTAGTGACATTTCTGCTTTGCTCTGGATCACCCTAGAAAGCGTTGGGCTGTCTCAGGAACCCCTCGGGGCCTCCGCTGGCCTCTTTCTCGAGCTTGCTTTAGTCTCCTGCTCCACCACCTGGCATGCGGCTGTACTTGCCTTTGAATATCACTGGCTTGGCCTTGCAAATTTTCAGCAAGTTGTCGGGGACGGACACGGGTTCTCCAGAGGCCACAATGGGAAAGGTGACTGAAGCCGGTCCCACCAAGGCAGCCTGGGGCACACAGGGCAGGCCTGCACTTTCTAGGAACACACCAAGATGTTAGTGGAATACACGGGACAAGGTGCCGTCTCCTGCAGACCTCATACCAGTCACCACGAAGCTGCTACCAACATGACCCTTGTCCCTGCGGGCAGAAGCCCAATGTCTTAGAACCACAGACCCCTGAGGTCAAAGGTAGCTGTCAGCTCATTCTCCCTGACCTTCCTCACCAAATGACGGTCTTCTCCCCCTCCTCCATAGCCCTGCCAGGTGACGGACAAGCCCCTTTCTACCTTTCTCTTGACTCAGGAAACTCACTACTGAATGGGGCTCCTAGGCCTTGTAAAGTAGGTCTGCTCCATGGGAAGGGGTTCTCATGTTAGACCAAAGTCTGCCCCCCACAACGTCCTCACCCATGTGTGCACACACATGAATGCACACAGGCCCTACCCCCACTAGCAGCACCACCGAGACTAGGACCCCACCTTGACTAGGGGCATGGCTGTGGTCACTTACCATACTTGGCTCTGTCACCACCACCCTGGGGGAAGCCACCATCCACAGCTGATGGAGATTCTGGAGACCACCCTTTGTGACGTTTTTTGGGGGGCCCGGCGTTTGACAAGATGCCTAGACAACATGCGGGGCGTGGGTTAGACTATCACTCGCCTTGGGCATCAGTAAAACCTTCCTGCTCCGGAGGGCACCGTTTGGCTCTTTTATCACGGCTTTACCACAGAGTTTCAGCATCAGCTGAAATATCGAGACAGCAGGAAACATCCTGGCAACATTCCCAAGTCAGGCACGTGTCTAAGCTCTCTCCGATCTCGGACTTGGTCATCTTTACGACAGGACAGAAAGACCTACTCAGAAAACTGTCTCCATGAGGACCGAAGAGAACACGGGTAACACGCCCTGCACAACGCCTAGCGGAGCGTTTGGGCTCGATAAGTGGTGGCCACCAAACGCACACCGTCTTCGGCTCTACCCATAGATTCCTGTATATTCTGGAGTTGGAGGGAAAATATGGCCAAGCGGCGGCCTCACTCCATGCACCAGCACAGTCTCACCACTTGGGGGCAGTACTGATCCAGCTCCCCACCCCAGCCTGGAAAGCAAATTTGAGTTAAAAACCCGGGAACAGAAGCTGGTGCCCACGGCTAGTGACGCAGCCCTGCCCACTCCAGACAGCCGCATGCTTCTGACTCAAGCTGGCTTCGTGAGTAATTCAAAATAGCAGGAACTGGTTTCCATGGTTTCTTGACCAGTCCAACACCACATTGAGAGCACCATGTTGGAGCCCCTGCTGTGCATTCAGCTCTCCTGGGAAACTGCAGACTTCGGGTGCAGCTTCACTCCAGGTAAACCCAAAGCCCAGCCCGCGCCCAGGCACCCCAAGGCCCTGGAGCCTCCAGATGATTCCAGCACACAAGCAGGTTGAGAACAGCTGACAGAGCAGCGTGCTCTAAGCCTGAGGCCTTGGGTCCTCGAATCCAGTTTAGCCGTACATGGGGGGTTGGGAGGAGACGGGGCTGACTACCAAATGACTCCAGATCAGCGAGAGGGAGAGCACTGGGCGGGGAGTCCACAAGCAGGTGAGCTCTGCCCCCTGACTCGACCTCCCTGAACCCCCACGGCCGTGGTCGTCCCTGACATCATGCTGCCCATGTCTCCGGAAGGCCATAGCCCTCCTGCTAGGTGATCCAAAGGACAGGCCCCTCGCCATCACCACGACTCTGCTTCTAGACACGCATGGCACTCCTCACGTGTGGCCCACCCTCGCCCACAGAAGCCGTGGCTCCACCCAGCACCAGGGCCAGGCACAGACCCTCTAACCCAGAAGCCACCAGCTGGCTGCGCTCTCATCCAAGCCACACTGGACTCCAGGAGGCGTGGCACCCAGCCCAGCGGCTTCCTTGGCCCAGGGGAGAGCAGGACCCCAGGACAGCCGGGACGGTCATACTACCTAAGGCCGAGGGTCGCGGCAGGGCCGACAGGTTGTTCTTGGCCAGCGGCTGGTGCTTGGGGGACTCTTTGCCGTTGAAGACAGCTGGCCCCACTGCTGCGGCAAGGGAGGGGTGGTCTGAGGCTGATCCTGAAAGCAAAGAGCAGGGAGAGCGGAGGGCCAGTTCACCGCAGGCTCTGAGCTGGGCGGCGTGGAGCTGTTCTCTCCACAGTTCCCAGCTAGCTTTCCGTGGGTAAGTCCCACTAGGAGGTCAGAATTCCTGACAGTGTTCTGCCCTGCTCAGATGACATCCAGGCATCTGCACGCTAATATGCACACACATGAGTGCACACACATGCACAGACAGGGACACACGCACTCCTGGGCTTGTACACCCCATTGGGTCCAGTCTGGGAAAAAGGAGGACAGGATACGAGGGGGGCTGGGAGGTCCCTCAATTCCAGGACCACACCTGAAACTGTTCCATTCCCTTCTACTCTTTTACCCTCCAGAGTTCAAGTTCATAGCAAAATATAACCAGGAAGACCATCACGCATGATAGTCAAGCTGGTCCAGGCTGCTCAAGGGATCTAGGGCTGCCCAGCTCTGAGGACGAGTCTGGGAGCAGCTGTGGGTTCTCTCTGGTGGCGGACCAGTCTTCCCCTGCCCAGGCCAGCCAGAATGGTCTGGGATGTGCTCTAGTCAGGAGCAGCAGCAGCGTTTCCCGCGGGTACAGGCGCCGCACCCCTGCCCAGTGTGGGGTGAAGAGCACGGTCTGACGCCCGCGTGGCAACCCAGTCCTCGCTGTGTAACTGCCCTGCTTTAATGATCCCATCGTGAATGGAGAACAACGAGGACACACAGCGCCACCAGGAGGCGGCGGGAGCTGGGAGCGGCCAAGGGTGCAGGAGGCTGCCTGGCTCGCGCAGCTGTGAGCACTCGGCGTGGCTGTGGCCTTACTCCCTAGGCCGTCCTGCAACTTAGAAAGGGTTTTCCCATCTTTATGACTGAGGAAACAGAGGTTCCTAGTGTGCGAGTTGCCCCAAATCACTCAGCTGTGGGTGCCGCGCTGGAACCCACATCCAGGCACTCTGACAGCAAAGCTGCAGCCCTCTCACCACCACGTGGCAGAGGCCAGGGGCTGGGCACCGCGAGGCGGTGAGGCCACAGCAAATGCCTAGCAGGAAGGGCTCAGTGTCTCTGCAGAGAGCAGGTCCCTAGCCTGGGTGGGGACAAGGGCACTGGGCCCCTCTCAGGGCCCACACACCTCAAGACCCTCTGGGCAGGAGGAATGAGAACAACCAATGACCTTCCAGGCCCTCCACGGTAACCGCCATGATGTTCTGTTCCGTGCGGCAGCATGCCCAGCTCGGATGTCAGAAACACCTGGTGTCGAATCCCACCTTCACCACCCCTGCCTGGGGAGTCCCAGGAGCAGTCCGCTTCCGTGAGCCTATTTCCCGGTCAGTAAAACGGGCCACCACGGCCTGCTCACAGGGTGGCGGCTGGGACTCAGTGAGACCCACGCACAGCGGGGCCCCGGCGCAGGGAACTGCAGCGATCTCATCCCTTCGGCTCCCTTGGTTTGGCTCAAACGCTGGCCGAGCAGCTGGAGCGTGGAGAGCTCTCGGCTGCAAACTGGGGCGTGCAGAGGGACCCAGCATAGGGCCCCCCGCATGACCCACAGGGCGCGGAAAGGCTTTCCGAATGAAAAGCAGCGCAGTCGTTCTTGGAACTATCGCAACTTCAAGGTGACATGGAAACGCAGGCCGACAGTCACATGCGCCCGAGGCGCGCCCCGTTCAGGATGAGGAGCCGCTGACTACGCACTCAGCTGACCCGGCGGGACGCACCAGGACTGGGTCTGCACCGCTGCTGCCCCTCCATCGTCTCACCTCCCTGTGGAGCTCCCACCAGGATGCCGGGGTTGGCCCCCGGGGTGGGCTCACTGGGGAAGGTGGCCAGGGGCCCTGGGCCTTCCAGTGGCGGGAAGAGAGAGCTGGAACAGGAGCTGGCGGAGGTCTGCCGGCTTCGGAAGTCTGCGGGCAAGATGCAGCCATGACAGTCAGTCTGCCCCCACCAGCCTAGGGCCATTCTCTGGCTGGCCACCTGTCCCACAGGAGGCTGAGATGTGCTGCTGACCACACACGGGGCCACCCTCAGCCTGGTCTGTGCTTCTGTGTGTGCCCAGGAGGGCACAGCTCCCCTCCCCCCCCCCCCCCCCGCGCAGCGTGCTGGGGCAGTGCTGAGTGACAGGAGCGAGCAGCAGTGAGTACCCAGGAGAAGGAGAGAGAGGGGCTGAGCACAGGAGCCCGCCAAGGAAGCTGAGTGCTAGACCCGGACAAAGGAATAACCTATACTTTCCTTCTCTGTCGGACGGGAGGCTCCCAGGGCCTACCTGACCTGGGGGTGCTTGGCCCTAGCGAATGATCGAGGTGGTGAACTGGTCCCCAAGCGGGAGAGCCACCATGCCCACAGGGCCAGAGACATGACTGGCATATGCTGGGAGCTCAGGAAAAGTGTACTGAGTAACGCACAGAATGAAGAGAGGGCAGGGGTGGAGCGGCAGAGGGCGGGAGGCCTAGGGCGCCCAGGGAGCTCCATCTAGGCCCTGTCGCTGCTCCCAGTGGGGTTCTTCATGCTGGGCCATGCTGGGCACTGCAGGATGGCCAGCAGCACCCCAACCCTTGCCCACTCTATGACGTAGCAACCTCCAGTCGTGACACCCAAACGAATCTCCAGATGCTGCTAAACATCCCCTGGGGGATGAAATCACCCCAAATTAACAACCACTGCCCTGGGGGCCAGTAGATAGCATGGTGGTTAAGGTGCTGGACTCCCACATGGCTGACTGGGAGCTAGACCCAGTCCTAGACCCAGCAGCTTCAAAATCATGCCAAACACATGTGCATATGTGCCCAAAGTCCCAAGAGGAGAATGGAGGACAAGGGGCTGCAACATGGCCATCCTCCTGGGGGGTGATTTCACACTTTCCCTCTGTCTGTCTCTGTCTCTCTCTCTCTGGCGAGCGTACATACCCTATGGCAAAAAGCTTACAAACACACAAACAAACAAAACCCTCTGCCCCAAATACTTGTAAGGAGGCATGGCACGGTGAGGCCCTTGTCAACTGTAAAACGTCCCATCTAACTCGTCCATCACTCTGAACTAACTAAACACCTGGAACAGAGAGAAGTGCGTTGCCAGTTGCACAGGCCTGGCCTTTGGGCTGTGATCGGGTGCTATAAAGCCCTCTCTCCCCAGCTCCACACTGCCAGGCACTGGGGCCCCCTGGGGCCATCCTCAGCCACAACCCTCACCTGAGCCTCTCCAACAGATCAGCGGTCCCCTGGTGAGAGTCCCTTGTGCATTCCGGACCAGGTAATACTTCAAGTGCTTCTGCTTCTTGGGCTGGGTGGTCAGCTTCAGATTGATGTGGTTGGAGAATTCCGTGAAGTAACAGAAGCCTTTCTTCCCACAGCCCACGCAGTTCCCCGAGAAGCCTGGAGGGCAGATGGAACACCGACATCTCTAACTCACCCCAACGCCCTTTGCAAATGATCCACTGTTCATGGGCGCTCCGAACTGACGTCCTACACCAGCAGCCGGAAGATCCCACCAGGCACAGGGCCCTGTCAGCGTAGACCGGCCTCAACTCAAACGGGAGGCCGAGAAGGCCCGCTCGGAGCTGGGCAAGCACGGAAGACGAAACCTGCTTCGGGGCACATTTAAAGCTGTATGTGGGGGCCTGGTGTGGCAGGAAAACGACACTCTGGATGGCTGACCCACATGGGGGGGCTCGGGTTTTACACCAGACCTCCCTGGTACACTGCGTGTGCCCGGCCATGACCTGGGGCTGGCTGTGCCTGAGAGCGGATCGCAGCATCAGAACCTGTCAACTGTGCTGTTATCACTTGCTCACTCACGGAAGGAAGGAGAGGAAGGAGGAAGGAAGGGAGAAAAGAAGGAAAAAAAGAAAAAAGGAGAGAAAGAGAGGGAGAAAGACACTTTAAAAAAAGAAAAACCCAAGGCCAGTAGGTGGCACAGTGGTTAAGGACTGGATCCCACATGGCCACTTCTGCGGTTCGAATCCCAGACCCAGTGGCTTGAAAAACATGCCAGGTGCTGCACATAGATGCCCTAAATCTCGAGAGCAGAATGGACAAGAAGGGACTGTGGCATGGCTATCCCCTCGGGGGGTGACTTCTCACTTCCCCTCTCGGTCTCTTTCCAGCAAGTGCATACACCCTGTGGCAAAAAAAAAAAAAAACCTTCAAAATTTTTTTAAAAAGAGAAACGTATACACCAAGCCAGCTCTGCAGGACCAAACCTGTGCCATTCCCTGAGGAAGTTCTTGGAACAGCTTGCTACACCCTGTTTTTATGAGGCTGGCCAATTACAGTCTCAAAACTATTAGGCCATTGAGAGTAGACACATGGAAAGCCCAGAGTGTCCATCCGGGAGCCAAGAAGAACCCATGCGTTGCTACTTAAAAATCAAGAGGACTTTGCACGGTGTGGCAGGGATACTGCGAGTGAACTCTGTGGCTTGGTCTCAGTAGGCAGAGACCCCGCTGGAACACGGTCATCGCAGGTGGGCATCCTCCTGCCCCACACGGAAATGGGCCTTTCAGGGAGCTGGCAGAGATTTCCACCAGCCGAGAGTTCAGAGAGGCCCTCTCTGCAGAGGCAATGATGAAACCAGCCCACACGGACAGTTACAGTCCAGAGCCTGTGCTTGGAAAGACCTTCACGCCCCGTGAAGCCCCTCTGAGCTACACGCAGCGTTGACGTGCCGGCCAGTGCGTGACTGACGTGAGCGTCTGGATCCTCTGACGGCTGCTCCTGTTCAAACTCTCTCGAAGTCCTCGCTCTGCTTACTTCTGTGTCTGGGCCTGAGGTCTCTCGGCAGGCGCGACTCTGCAGTGAAGACGCCTCTATTGTTATCACGCTCTGGCAGGCAGGTCTGCAAAGGTCACTCTGCCTTAGGTAATGACAGCCACAGGCTCTGCGACCTCCAGCTAGTGTTCACGGTAACTCCACTGAGTGAAGGTTAAAGCAGACAGCTAGGGCCGGCCAGTGGCATGGTGGTTAAGGCGGCTGGATCCCACATGGCCAACTGAACAGTTCGAGTTCCTGATCCAGGGGCTTGAAAAACATGCCAGGTACATGTATGTGCCCCAAATCCCGAGAGAGAAGAATGGAAGAGATGGGACTGCAGCAGGGCCACACACCCCCAGAACGATTTCTCCCTTTCCCACTCTCTCTCTCTCTTTCTAGCAACCACCCATGCCCTATAGAAAAACTAAGAAACTAAACAAAAATAAAGACATCTCCACCACAGAAATCTACTAGGTTGCTGACCAGTCTTATTTTAAGCAAATTTAATGGCCTTTAAAAAGCCTTAGATATAAGAGCAAATCTCTCGGCCTAGCCGCAGGCCAGTTACGGGATGGTCTAGCCTCCTGCGTCCTATCACCCCTGCACCAGTGCGGACAGAAAAGGTGCCAACGCCCCGTGGGACGCAGCACTCCGTGTGTTCTTGGTTGTTACAGGGCAGGGCGAGGCCCAGGACTGACGCATGGAGAGCCAGGGACCTTCCTGCATTCGCTGCGGTCCTCAGCTTCCTGGACACAGGCTGGCCAGTCCAGAGGGCAGGACCTACTCTGAGGCTGGAGTCCGAGAGGCTCGGGAGCTGTCCAAAGCCATAGACAAGGGGTGCAGCGTTCAGTCCATTGTGAGGAAGTCTAGACCCTCAGGCGCAGCCCGGATCCCCTGCCCTCATGGCCAGCTTGATTTCCTGTTCCTCATTCGGACACACCTAATTTACAGACCCCCCCACCCCTACAACTCAGCCCACTCCCCACTCCCCCCAGCTCCTCCTCCATAAGCCCTACCCACACTGCCCGGCCACCGTCCCGTGCCCAGCTCTGACTCCTGGACCTTTACAGCCTCCCTCGACAGGAAGGGCCAGGCCACACTTTTCTCCAGGCCCTGGTACTTTCTACTGCTCAGAGGGTCTGGGATCTCTTCCCTAGTGTGACAGTTACTGAAATTCTCATCTTTGTTCCCATAAGTATCCCTGTCCTTCCCAAGGAAGTTGGGTTCACATACGTGAGTGTCCACGTGCAGACCAATACCCTGCTCATGGCAGACGGTCAGCAGATACGGAAGGGAAGGACGGAGAGAGAGGACAGGTAACTCTTTAAGGGACCACGCGAGTGTCTGCACAGTCCTTGAAATGATAATCTACTGGTATTCATTCATTTGCCTTTAGCCTAAGAACTTTGAGATAAACAGTTCTATTGCCATCTAAGACCAAAGCCCCGAGACACCCTGAGAGCTCCCTGGAGGGGATTCTGTTTTTTGTTTGAAGAGATTTTTTGCTATAGGGTGTGTGTACTTGCCAGAGATAGAGAGAGACAGTGAGACAGAAAGTGAGAAATCATCCCCCAGGGGGATGGCCACGCAGCAATCCCTTCTCCATTCTCCTCTTGGGATCTCGGGCAATCCCTTCTCCGTTCTCCTCTCGGGATCTCGGGCATGCACGCACACGCGCACACACACACACACACACACACACACACACACCTGGTGTGAGTTTTAAAGCCACCAGGTCAGGAACTAAAATGACGGTCGACTCCGTGGAAGTCCAGCGACATAACAATTTCACCGTCTGCTGGTTCCGCTGGAGAGGATTCTAAGCCCGGGTGTCGGACACAGACGAGCAGGAAACAGCATTGCAAGCCCAGGGATGCTAAGGGGCATTGCCAGCCCTCTGCAGATACAGAGAGACCAGGCATGGGCCTTTGTCCCAAGAGAAACGTGGGCTGGGCCTATCGCTGGATTGCAGCAGCTGTTCTGCAGAATCGGGGGGATTCAACCAGAGACAACAGGAGCACCTCAATGTGGCCCAGAAATGAGGTCCTCACCCTCGGGCTTCCTAGGCCAGCAGCTACCTAGGGAACTATCAAGAGACCTCTCTCCTACTTGGGCAACAACTTTCTGGTCAGTGGACCTGGCTGTTTTTCTGAGGTGATGCTGGAGAGACCGGCCACTGGGGCCACCCAGAACCAGACGATAGCTTCCCAGCTGGCCTCCAAGATGCTCAGCTGAGCACAGGAAGAACGTCAAACATCCCAGGGATCATTTGAAAGGCAATAAAAGTTTCCTGAGAAAGAATAAAGTAATGACCCAGTCTCCTGGGAAATCCACTTAGGATCTGGACGTCTATGGAAACCTCTAGAAGATGGATCCGGCTGCAACCTCTAATTCCTGTCGGGCACAAATACCCAGAGCTGAGAGAAGTCACCCCCTCAAAGGCCCACCCCACGGGGACAAGTCCATGAAGACGACTCCCTCGTGACCACACGCCACCACGCCCAGTGCTTTTCCTCGGTCCCAATGAGCAGCTGCAGCGACACGTGTCTAACGAGCACATCCTGAACGGATGCCTATCCACCCCAGCCACTGCGCAAGGCTCTCCCCTCCGCTGGGGCGAAGCCACTGTCCACTCCTGCCCCTTCGTTCACTACCCTCCCACGGCGC